GACTTTTATCTTGTATATAAAATTTAGTTCACAATTTTAGGAATTAATTTTAGGTGATTTGTTTAGGTGTGAATAACATGATCAAAACTAGGGTTTAGGAGATAACATAGGAGAATTAGTTCATTGCCCTTAGGAATTAGAGATTGAATCTTTGGGGTATGGGACTATAGGGATTATGGGTAGTTATTAGATCCTTTAGAGAATATTAGGATTCCCCTACTGCTATTAGTACTGCTTATATTTGCTTGACTGGTGTGGTGTGCCCTCTCTGGGGATTATTATTTGTCTGTTTGGGGTATTGGGTTTGTTTGGGGATTGGGAGAGCTGAAGACTTGTGATGATGAAGCCATTGGAGATCCAGAGCATGAAGACCAACTTCCAGAGTTGATGAAGAGATTCCTTTGCTGGCAGCTGTTGAGGAGTATAGGGTTTAGGAGCTAGGCAGAGCTCTAGAGTAGTAAACTTGATTCTCAAACATGGAAGGTCTTGATTGCCTCCATTCTTCTCTGTGATGCAGAGTCTCTCTAAGACACTCACCCCCTTCCTTTGGAAGGCTTGGTGATAGTGTCTAAGAGATAGAACTCTTGAGAGAAATATTCTATGTGTTGTTAGCAGTCTGTTTGCCACCTTTGGTGGTCAACCAATTGCTTAACACCCAGTTCACTCTCGTGATTGATTCCTCAGCTTGGAGATGGAGATTGATGCTTGCTGAAGCTTGTAGCTGATTGATGATGACTTGAAGACAGATGTTGATGCAGAGCTGCTGTGGCTGTTTATTTTTTCTGTTTATTTTCTTGATGTATTGATTGGTTTTCCCTGACCGTATTGTTTGCTATTTACCCTGTTAGGTTGAAAGTGAATCTTGTTCACTTTTGCCTATTGTTTTCTAGGTTCGAGGTTGAGTGGGACTCCCTTGCCTCGCTTGTATTGTTGCATCCATGCATTTTACTGCTACTGTATATATGATATTGTTTCTGTTTCCGTCTATTCCCTTAGGATCTCTGTTTCTCTCTGTGCAGGAGAGGAACATGATAGACACTAGGTCTTAACCCATGCATGATAACATTAAGTTAGTTTGATCCCCTTCGCAACCGTAGGTTAGAGTTCTGTCTCTTCTTTCTAAAAAACAAACAGAAAAACACAATAAGATTCCAAACACAATAAAAGACACTTCTTCCGTAAAAGAATGTGAACTCATCAAGACGTCATTTTTGTCCGCCCGGACCAGTAATCAGAAAAAACCTTTTCAGAAGGAATAAAATCAATCAAGACAGACTTGTGTCATACGTGGCCCGAACTACGTTTGCTCTGATCTTTCATGCTGTGTGAAAGTACGTAGGCATAGGATGCGATATCCTAGCGAGCAACCTTCCCCTCCTTTCCCGTAGGTAGGCGAACTACGTTGACTCTGATTTCTCGTTCCAGACGGGAATACGTAGGCATAAAGTGTGATACTTTGCCGAGTCATTTTATTTCCTTTTTAACCCTTAACCTTTAGTTTAGATAGAATAACAATCCATACCCGAAAACAAGCGTGGATCCCGTCGAGTACGACGGACGTGAGGGGTGCTAATACCTTCCCCTTGCGTAACCGACTCCCGAATCTAGGTTATGGTTGCGATGACCATACCTTTCCCCGTCTTTGCGGTAGGTTTACTCTGAGCGTTTCCTTTCCCTCCTGTGGGATAAATAACGCACGGTGGCGACTCTTCTGTTCAGCCGGCGCCGATTTTCGCAGTAGCGACAGGGAGTAAGGGAAATTAGGCCTTCGTGGCCAAAATTTGTTGTTAAGGTTTTAACCGTATAGAGTAATTGACTATGAGAACTCTAATAAATATGGGAAAATTGTAAGGATTTTATGGGAATTTGAGGCATATATATGATACGGGATTGGCCTAATAAGTCGTAGATTTTATGCCTTTATCGTCGTAATACCTTAGGAATGATTGAGTGATGTTTTGGGGGCATTGGGGAAGGAAATCGTAAGGACTTTTGGGTTGGTTTTGCTACTGGTGCATAACAGTGTTTTGCTGTAATCGCGAGTTCGCACAGTGAACAATCCTTCGCACAACGAACACTCGCCCCAGACTCGCACGGCAAACTGTCCAGACTCGCACGGCAAACTGTCCAGCGAACGTAGCAGAGTTTCGCGAATTGTATTCTTGTGCAGTGTTGTCTTGATGCTTTGATGCTGTAATTTTCTGGATGAATTACCTTGAGTATGATTGTGATTAATACATGATTGTATGATGATTTCTATGAGTAATGATGACGAATTGGATGTGAAGTATTTTGTTGTGCTTCGGTTCTTGTGTAAAATCGATCCTACTGATGGGGATCTATGGAGGGTTGATGGCCCAATGTCCATCAAACTTTGATGAATTGGTACCACATGCATGAGTCTTGTTGCATTTGCATTTATGTGACAATTTGGTGTAATGTATGATATTATGGCTTTTTTATGTTTCCTTGATGATTATGATGATGTTGAATACGAAAATGACGTTATTTTGTATATTGATTCCTATATTGATTATTATGAATTGTTTTACTCACCCTGCATATTCGAATGGTGCCTCAACGTGGGTAACATACAGATGACCAGGTTTAGCCATGGATGTCGTTGAGGACTTTTTGGAGTTTTTGACTTTTGGTTGACTTAGAGGGTCTTGCTCTGATAGTGTAACATCGGGTTGGGGTTTTTGAGTTAAACCATGTTTTATTGATTATTGTTATTTTGATTATGTTGATGCGCAAGGAAAACTTTGGATTTTACCTTTTTGAGTTTCGCTGCCTTTTGAATAATTTTTGAGTAATTTTGGGAAAACCTGTTGTTTACGAAGCATTGACTTTTATTTGAGTTATTGAGAAATGTATGCCCTTTGAGGTGATTTTTATTGTGTTTAATATTTTACTCTGATAAATGTGATTGATTTGCCATTATATTTGTGGGGTAGAAAGGGTGTTACACTTCACGCGCATTACTGGATGGACGAGTGTGCATGAGTACACTGAGGACATGCCTCGTGTCTGTGCTTTTATCCACTGAGAGAGAACTAAGCGGTCGAACCTTTCAGAGTCTACCTTGACCGTTTGATTGTTAAGGACATGCACTTCAACAACTACATGGATGCGTCAGACGTGGCCATTTGACGAGATATCGCTATACTCGAGATGGTTGACCTGCTCCTCATAGACAAGTAGATGAGATATTTTTTTATTATAAGACTCATTTGGTTCTAGAGGAGTCACGGGCTACCATAGCGCCGAACGACTGGAGTTACGCCGACAAATACATCAGGTGGTTCTTCAGGGTGTCACACTCGTACATGGTGCAGACTGCTCTAGAAGATCCATTGGTTTGAGATACTAGAGGAGGAGCAGGCTCAGCTAGATCATACTGATGATATCTTGTCTCGGTGTCGTTGCATAGTGGATATTGCACGAGCAAGCATTGACGAAGGTATCTCCCTGAGGGATTTACTGTCAAGCGAGTCTTGGATGCCATGGTAGCGGAGGCACATGGGGCACTGTTGTACCGGATGCATTGTCGGAGGACAGGGGGTTTGATGGCCGAGGAGGAAAAACAGGCAGAGAAGGCGGAGGAGATGTTGTCAAGCACACCTAGTAATAGTTATTTATTATTTTGTTGTATTACTATACTCTCTACTTTATTTTTATGGTTTTATCAAATTGTAGATTTCCATTATTGTACGACATGTTCTATATATATTACTATACTTCATTCAATATTAGTCTCTTATTCTTTTGTACATTTATTTTTTATTTTGGATCGTGTTTTAACTTTATTTAAAAACAAATACACAACTTATAGTCAACAACAAATTGTTCTGATACACTTCGGAGATGTATCTCCGAAATATTATCGAAAATGCATCTCCAAAACAATTCAAATATAAATGGTGTTTGAGCAACATGTTTTAAATGTTTAAAATGGTTACGGAGATGTATTTCCAAAATATGTCAATGTTAATTCAAAAATAGGATGCATCCAAAGATATATCTCTAAAATCAAAAGACATATGTAAATAAAAATATCAAAAGTAAAAAAAAAAAACTCTCATCTTTTTTCAAAGCCATCCTCTCCAAATTTCAAAACAATACCATCAAACTATAAACTATTATATGCAACGTGATTTATTTCAAAAGTTAGGTAAAAAGTGGACTAAACAATACTCTCTAATTCAAATTATAAATCACTTCTTAAATAAATGCACTCCAAATTATAAAACACTTCATCAATGCAACATTAATAATATCTTATCAATGCAACATTAATAATATTTTCCTCGATATACACTATATGATTTATTACTATTTATTTTTCTCTTCTTCTAATTCTTAAAATTTATCTTTCATTTGTAATAAATAAATAGCAATATGGTAAAACAATACATGATTTCTCTTTTTCATATAATGATGATTATGTTTTTTAATTCACATAAAACATCTTATAATTTAAATCGGAACGGAGAGAGTACAATGCAATTCGTCTGTAATTAAACAGTTACTTCAAAAATGATATAAAGTAAAATCCAAAAATACAAAGCAAAAATGTTACACATTATGTGCTCCCCTTACCTCCAAATTCCTATTGTAAGAGAGCTCAACACCACGAAGAAAAGTAACACAAATGAGTAATGACTTCCAAGAACAAGAATTGTATTCTGTACATTCTATCAAGAAAGGATAATTAATTCATTTAGTTCCTTAACAAAATCTTTGGAACAAGACAATAAATTCAAAATGGGTGTCTACAAAAGCTTCTATGCATATGCTTTTCTGTGTATGTGTCTGCTATTCCTAATTCCATGTTCTCCTTGGCCTGAAAGAAACATTGTCAAAACAAATTAAAATATATAAATTTAATATAAATAAGCAATATAACTAATCGACCTCCCTCTAAACCTATCCCCTTTTAATTCTGCAAAACTAATTCTTTCTTCATTTTTGAAAAGAATTCATTACCCTCCTAATAATCATATGTTCTTTAAAGAGTGTAGGTGATGGAAATACTTCCGACTCTTTTGTTGTGAACGCCAGTAGCATGCGAGTGCTCCAAAGGCACAGCTAGCAACAGCAATTGCCAAAGCAGCTCCAACCGGCACCACAACTGCATTCGTCCCGACTGTTAAATCTTCTAGGGTGGCTCCTTCAGCTCCTTCAGTTCCAGCAATACCATTCTCTTTGTACAGAGACACGAGTGTTTTCCCGTAATAATTTCTCAGAGTCCTGTAGACTTCATCCTGGTTCCATTCAATTTTGTTGCTTGTTTGGTCATAGTCAAGGTAACAGGAAGAGCAAAGCTGCTTTGGAGGCCAAACTGTCTTTGGGAATTTGGGATCACCGGTACCTATAGAAGCTTCTTCTTTCCTCAGCCTTTCGTTTACCTTGTTATGGGAACTCCACAACCAGAGTGCAAAGTCGCGGGCTTTGTTGAAAGGACTGGAAACACTGAAAATTATATGAACTTGGAGTTTAAAAGGGTGAAAAGTGGAGCTTGAATGATATTGACACATTAACAATTCTCAATTCCTTTTTTTACCTTGAACACATCTTGTAAAAATGTTGTCGGCATTCCTCGCAGACAAAGAAGTTGTGAACAAAATCACAGATTGCAGTAAATGTAAACTGACTCTCTCCATCCTCAATCCTTACAGAGAGTGAATGTAGAAGAACCCATAAGCCACAGCTAAAGCCTCTGGTTTCATTCTTACTACCACGACAGAACATCTGCAAAAGATTTATACATTATATCATCAGGAACTTTGCTCACAATAAGAAAATTCAAAATTCCATGTATGAAGACAAAATTATGAATCATAGCAAATACCAAAACTTAATGCAAAGTTATATTTACTGAATAAGAAACAGGTCTTCCTTGAGCTATTTGTTAAATATTACATAAAAAGCAAGGCAGAAATGCAGTACAGAAACATTTAAAAGGTTTAACACGGCTATTGAGCTCCTACCCAGTATCCACGTGGCACTTCTTTTCCGCAAATTTGAAAGTTCTTAGCCAAACTCTTATCATCTTCTTTCTTATGAGATGACCAAGACTCTGTTGGGTATAAGTCATCAAAGCTCACAAGTAAGTCTCCGGCGCCCTTCCGGCATCTGAAAAATAAGATCCAAAAACATAAACAATCTTGATGAGTTGCCAAAAGCTGAAGAAACTTCATAAGAGATCAATTAAAGGTTTGTCTTAATTACCTCCTAGAAGGATGATGAGCGGTCAAAAGCTGGAGAAACTTTAAAAGTGAAGCACGGGTTTCTGGTTTTATCATCTGCAAAATCAAAGTCACTTGTTCTATTTCTAAAAGAATGAGTACAAAACGAAAGGTCAGTCAGGGAGAATTAATATACCTTGTTCTCCAAGATGATGTCAAAAGCTAATGAAGTTGCCTCTTCAACATCATAGATACCTCTTGCAATCTTTCCAAGTTGTGCATGCATATCATAAACGTCAATATTTTCAAAAATAAAAAAGTAAATCAAACATGTTAGCAAGCTAAGAAAAAGACCTGTTGGGGGTCTGATGTATTAGATGAAAGATGCTCATTTTGAAACTTCTGATCATCCAGCCCAAACGAACTGTGACATTACAAACAATATCAGCTACAAACACGAAAATAAAGCTACTTTTGCATCAGATTTCAGATATTATATATACAATTTTTATGTTCCATCGGATGCAACTAGAATGCTCCCTTGTAATTCTAGACACTTGCATACTCTGATTAGTGTGCGGCGCATTGCAAGATAATAATGTTAATTTACTGAACTCAAATATATCATATGGCTTAAATAAAATGTTCACCTACAACATCAGAACCACACTAACAATGAATGTATGTGTACCTCATACCTGGACGTTTGTTTGTTGATCCAAGTAAGCAATTGACCAGCTGTGCGTGCATTCACAATCTCAATCACCTGTATATCACTGTTCTTTTGTGTCGGTTCCCAACTACCACCTACAAATTTAGGAGGAGCGCCCCAAAAGAGCATAGGATAATGACCAACAGAAAACTTATCACAGAGCTTAGTATTTATCTGTGCTGCCAAAAAAAGTGAACAGGAAGAAGCCAATCAACAAGGCGTGTTTATTATAAACTTTAAAACTCGTCTGATGAAGAACGTAAATAAGATGTCTGTACCTTTTCTGCACAATCCACCCTTGTCAATAATATGATTCCAGGATGCACTGCATCAGGTCCATTAAATAACCTTGCAACCTTTTCGTATTGAGGCTGCATTATAAGTTCAGTGAGAGAATGGTGAGTTAATATGTTTGGTGAAAAAGGCCCAAAAAACAATTGTACTTTTTAGCATATAATACCTTATAATTCCTGCAAGCAGGACACCTGAAAGAGAAGCAAAGGAAAAAGGAAAATGAGAATTTCTTATAATCAACAACTGCACATGTTTGATTTCAGCTAGATCATTGAAAAAGAATAATTTCATTATAAATTTGAATTCAAAAGTTTGAAACAAATTCTTAAAAATAATCTAAGTAACTAACTATGAGAAGAGAGATATTTAGGCCTCATTTACTTTGTGAAAACATTTCCTGTTTTCATTTTCTAAAGTTTGTGTTCATTTGTAACTTGCTAATAAGATGTTATACTTGTAAAATGAACAATTGTGATAGAGGGAAGATGAAATACAAGTTGGAGATGATGCATTTTTTGAAAATAATGAAAACAACCTTAAACATTTTCTTTGTTTCCAAAAAAAATGCAGAAAATCAGTCTCGTCAAGAGTCTAGTATCTCATTGTTAACAAGTCTAATCAACACAAACTTAGGAAACGAAAATAGAAAACTGGGCATTAAATTTTAAAGAAATACTGTAAGTTATAATAATGAAATTTAATTTAATAATGGCTACACCATAAACATATCTGTATTTCAATATCACCTAAGAAGAACATCGAAAGAATGCAAAACACTAGGCAAACATAAGTATAAAATGCATCCAATCAGATGACAGTGGTGCACATTAATTTGATGCAGGTTTTAGACAGTCATCTTTTATCATAACCAACACTTGGAAAGTGTTTCATCTTAATTTTAAGTGAATTGATTAGTGTATGTTTGGTTCTATGATGAGGAGAATTGATTTTGTAGAATTGATTCTAGTTAAAATGTAAAGTGATTTATGTATGGATATATTTATGTAAAGTGAGTTGAACAACAAATTTCAGTATAAAAATCACATTTATACTGGAGGCAGAATCAATTCTACTTTTGAAGAACCAAACATCTCAAAATCATTCCAGAATCAATTCTACACCTCTAGAATTGCTTTTGGTTTCTCTAAAAGCCAAACCAAACATACACTTGGGCTAAAAGTAATTTGAAGGTAAAGTGATTTATATTTAGATAAATTTTTGCAGACGTGAGTTCAACGATAAATTTCAATGTAACAATCACATCTAGGCACAAAAGCTACAAATCCTAGTTTCAAGTAAAATCAATTCTGGAAAGCATAATCAATTCTACAATATAGCAACCAAACATGTCAGAATCAATTCTGGATGCTCCAAAAGTGAAACCAAACATACACTAAATCTGTAACAGGAATATAAAAAGAGAATTTTCATGTTAACTTTTGATAACACTACTTAATTCACTTCTTTTTGAGCCCTTAACTACTCAATCCATAGCATCAATTTGCATTAAAGAAAAATAGCATGCCTGAATATTTATCTACAGCTCCAACTACATTAAAATAAACAAGTGGTAACTTGTAACAATAGAAAACAACACCACATTGTAAAAAAAACAAATCAACCAAAATGTCTAAAAGCCCTAATATTGATTAACATTATAAACCCATATTTCCTAATTGTTAACACTACAGATCTAGTTTGATAATTTAAAGAACATTTCAAACTCCATCAAATTAACCTAATTTAAAAACTAAATAAAAAAAAACAACTTTTCAGTACCCATAAGAGAATTCAACAAAATTAAATCCAAGAACAGAAAGTTAATCAATCAAAATCCATAAGACTAACCAATGTGCAAAGAATTCAACAATAGCAAACGTAGCAGGAGTATCCTTCAAAACAGCATCAAAACTACTCGCATTAAGCTCGACAGCATAATCCCGATCAATTCCACTTCGATCATTATCGCTAACCTCACGAAGGATCGAACGATGTGAAGAAGCATAACAACAAACAGAAAGCGTGCATAGAAACAAACACATAATCAAATTCATCACGGACATTGAAATCGAAACGGATCACGAAGGTGCAAAACAAAGACTAGGGTTTTATTGTGAAGAGAGTAATGGATCTGCTGTTGATAATTATTATTTATTTCGCTTTCTGTGATAGCTTTTGGGGTTTTGTTGGTGTAACGAAAATTGATTTGATGGGGTGAAGGGTTAGGTTTTTGAAAAGATGAATGAAAGGAAAAGGGAGGTTTTGAGAGTTACGTTTCAATGGCTTAGGTAGGAGATGGAGGAAACAGAACCCTCTGCTATTTCCTTTTCTTCTTCTAAACTTTTCTTGTCTTTTTTTTTTTTTTTGTTAAGCTTTTTTATGGAAACTTGTTGTTTCTTTGGTCAAAAAATCACTCTATATTTATTTATTTTTTCATATTATATATACTTTTTTATTTATCATTTATCATATATAGTATTTATCAAATAAATTACTCATCTCAATTTTTTTATGTAACTTTAATTACTAGTAGTATTTTTTTTAATTGTACTTTCTAATTGATATTTCTTGCATCACTTTGATGTTTGAATACAATATATTTAAGATTGCATTTATGACATTTTAAATCTATCTATGCACTTCATAAGGATGTTTTTCTATAAATATTTTTGTCTCTTTTTCATTTAGGTTTTCTTTGCTAACTGGTAAGACAAAAAAAAATTAGCTTTTACCTTTAGTTTTTCCATTCACATTAATAAAAAGTTTTGGTAATTATTTTTAGATTATAGCATGTAATTTTTATTATTATTTTTTAACTATTTTAAAAAATTATTTAAATAGTTTTTTTAGGATTTAGACTTTCAACTCGTTACTTTTTCTTCTACTTGTATCTTTAAACTATTTAAATTATTTTTAGTTTATAGCATGTAATTTTAATTATTATCTTTTAATCTTTATTATTTTGATAAAAACTCATTTTTAATCTTTATATTTTATCATAATTTTAAGTAAAATAAATGTATTTAATAACATTTTATCTCTATTGAGTAATGTTGGATAATAAAATTATTTTTATTATTATTATAAATTAATATAATTGAATTGAAAATTACAATACTATTATTTAAGATTAATATAACTTGTTAAATTTAATTACAATAATCATGCATAAATATTGTGTACTTATTAGTATAGGTGTTCATGGAATTCCTACTCGAGTAGGGATATTTAGAGATCTTTGTAGTTAAAGTTGGTCAGAGTTTGCTTGCGATAGTGAGAGATCCTGTTTTGTGGTGTTTACGGGGGTAAGAAAGGGTCAGCTCACGTGAGGTGAGAGACTATGTATTTATAATGAGTAAATTATATTTAGGGCATAATGATGTGTATCTTCTCCTGTTAAGGAATAGGTATTTATAGAGGTATTTGGGTCTGGGATTTTCTAGGGATTGATAATCGCTCACTCACTCACTCAACGAGGGGACATTGAATCCTTATTTCTTAAGACGTTGATCAATCATTTGACTCTAACATTCCTTCACTTGAGAAATATCTTTTCCCACGTTTCCCATGATAAGGCGAGTGGGGGTGAGGGCTCTAGGGGCGAGATTGGTCCTAATGGTGGGCAATATATTGATGTCGCCCCTTCTGAAGGTGACAAAACTCCCGTCATTACTAGGCTCTTCACAAATATAAAACTACATATATCATGCATATTGTTTACCCAACTACATATTGTCGCCCCTCCTGAAAGTGTGTCATATATGTGAATCTAATACATGCTTCCACCAACTACAAAACGAAAAAAAAATTGTTTACCCTGGGCATCAAAAATTTCTAAGACCTAATCATCCATATTGAAGATTGTGAAAGGTTTTTAATGGAAAGTAAGTTTGATATTGCTTCAAAGCCCTTAATTAGGAAAGGAGTTTATAAAAGACAATAACACATTAATGTTGTCTCTGGAAAGACACAAAAAGGTCATGTGGAGATAAATATTTAAAAAAAGATGTTAGTGTTATTTGATCTTCCATATTAGTCTAGCATCGATGTAAGGCAGTGTCTTGATGTAATGCATATGGAGAAAAATGTTTGTGATAGTTTGATTGGAACACTTATCAATATTAAAGGCAAGACAAAAGATAGTATGAAATCCCGTGTAGACATTGTTGTGATGGGTATACGACAAGAGTTAGCCCCAAAAGATGTTTCAAATCGGATGTCTTTAAACAAAATATAAATGGTTTCTTTATGATCAAGAAACACACAAGGGTTAGAGTTAACAAAGATAACAGTGTAAAACAGCAAGGAACAATAAGGATTGGTTATAAACAGTTATTCTTTCCTTTTCTCTTAGAAACAAGATTACAAGTATACAAGAATAACAAAATAACCTTTCTCTCTTGAAATTAGGATTTTATCTTCCTATTTTTCCTTATGCCAAGATGAGAGACTAGTATGTTATTTATAAGAAAATTAGCACACTAACCTAATGGACTTTTTAACAATTACCCATTACAAGTTAACTTAGGGTAAAAGCTAGCTTAAACAATTGGGCTTACAAGCAAGGCCCAATTCAACATGCTAACAACCCTAGCAATATTGACTAATGCATGTTAGAACAAACTTCGACTACAACACGTATTACTCCGACAGCAGCATGCGAACATACTTCGACATCGTGCTTAATTCCTGTCAAACCAAAAGCCACTCTTCGACCATACGAGAGTTCGATCTAACATCTCACAAATATCCACCTTGGATCTAACTTTATAACACCAAGAAACTAGCTTTCTTCATGTTGATTTATCAACTTCATACAGTGGAAAAACTTGCAATTGGGCAACGTCTCGGTGATCATATCAGCAACATTATGATCTGTCGAAACCTTTAGCATTTGAGCTTCTCCAGCTTGATTACCCTTTTGACGAAATGCAACCTCACATCAATGTGCTTGGTTCGCTCATGATAGGCTGAACTCTTCGTCAGGTGTATTGCACTTTGACTATCACATTTAACAGTGATAACTCAACCTTGAAGTTTTAGCTCATTTGCAAAACCTTCAAGCTACAATGTTTCCTTCATAACTTTAGTTAGGGCGATATATTCCGCTTCAGTGGTTGATAAGGAAATGACCTTCTGAAGTGTTGTTTTCCAACTAATTGTTGTCCCAAACATAGTGAACACGTATCCAGAAATATATTTTATGGAATCCATACAACCTGCATAATCAGAGTCGACATATCCTTCGATTTCTGCTTTACTATCTTCACCCAAGGCTCTACCATAAATTAGGACTTTATTTAAAGACTCATTTATGTACCTTAGAATCCACTTTAATGCTTGCCAGTGAGCCTTTCCAAGATTCGCCATGTATCTGCTTACAAGACTTATTGCATATGCTATGTCGAGACTAGTACATACCATAGCATATGATCAGTGATTTTTATACTTTATTTTACCATGAGTTTTAGCTAATTATCTTATAAGTTTAGTTGAATTTTATTTCTTTTTATCTCATTTTATTGTTTTTAGGTTCAGGTACGCAATTAAGAAGAATTGGAGCAAAAACTGGGAAAAACAACAGTAATTCGGAAGAGTTTTAAAAGTAAAACAGGGGCCTGACACGGCCACCCGTGTCATGATAGTACCAAGAGATTGAAGATTGTGTATTAGACATGGGACAACACGGGTGCCCATGTCAGCATGTATGGAGCAATGAAGTTTTTTTAACAGATGACCAGGGAACCAACACGGCCACCTGTGTCAGTTGACACGACTCATGTTTGATGATGCGCTTCATCTTCCAGTTTTTTGATTTTTTGGGTCTGTGTGATCCCTATGGGTATTTTGGATATTTTCCTATTACTATGTTGTACCTGGGAGTATTTAAGACAGATTTTGAAAAGGAAAACATAACTTTTTGGCCAGAAAATAATTGCACTATCAGGATTAGAGAGATTAAGGTGATTGGGGAACTAAAGGTTTTCATGAGCGAAAGCCATTGAAGATCAAAGGAACCTATTATCTTGTAATGTCTAGTTTTTCTTTTGTATTTTCTTCAAATATTATGAGTAGCTAAACCCCCCAATGTTAGGGGGAGTCCCTTATTTTAATCTGTAATGACTCTGATATTAGTATTGCAATGACATTTCTTTTGTTTAATAAATGATTTAATCTCTAGTTGTTCTTAATGTTGATCGCGACTTTCTATGTCTAATACAACTTAACTGCAAGTGCACAGTCTATCGCGTAGTAATAAAAGATATCGATCCCACAGGGACTCGTAATCAAACTAGTGTTCTCGGGAGTTACTATGTTTAGCTAGGTAGATAATGTTTAAGGGAATAATTTCTATCACTAAAGGGAACTAAAAACGTTACTTGAATTATAATTACGCGAATCGATATGCAATAATTGTGTTCTTCGGGGATTTGACAAGTTGTCGGTATATGAAATAATTTTCAGAATTTATTTAAGCAGAAAATAGTGATCTGAAGACTTTCGTCTCACGATGGTTGTTGACGCTAGTCATAATTCTAAGGGCCGAATATACGTTTTCGCTGTCCCATTCGGGGTTAAAACTACTTTTTGGAAATCTCTAAGTTCTAATCCATTTTAAAGTGCTTTCGCTGTTATTAAAACAAATGCCTAGTGTTTACTATCTGGTCTTACCGCAGCTGTCGCTTGTTGGTTCGTACCTTAATTAATTTCCCACTGTCGTGGCAAAACTACTTTTAAATAAGTTCTCGCTTTCGCGACGAACGTTTATTCAGTAAATAAGTTTAAACACTCAGACCATAAACAACTTTTGAAAAAGAAAGTTTTCAACCGGTTATTATCAAATCCCGTCTGAATTATTACTACATATCGATTACTCTAATTTAGCTAGACATGGATTTGGGAAAGGTAAAACATAAATAAAAACAGAAACTTAGAACATTCATATTACTGATAATTAAAGTTACAATAAACAAAATAATGAAAAACCTGTAACGTATCCAATTGGCTTTTGGCTAAATCCCAACGATGTCGGCAGGATTATGTCTTCAAACCAATAGAGCGC